TAATAAAAAAATAATTAATTTTAGCTATAAGCTCGGATTTCAGATGATGGCTACCTTAAAAATCACTCAAAAAGGCTGAATAGAAGAGTGGCGCTTGAAAGGGGGAAATAATGAAAATAGTAACAAATACAAAATATCAGTACATTTCCCGTTGAAGCAGCATAAAGTCTGTGAGACACAGAGGTAGTGAGGTTGTCTATAGTTGCTTGTTCAATGTGATAACTTAGCGCCAAAGGAAGTTTTTGTTGTATGGAAAGACTCATTTTTTGATTAGTGCCGCTTTCATTTGAAAAGTGCAAAAAGCTGTGCAGTAGGATTGAGATCCATGCTGTTGGCAAGAATAAAATTAGATTAAAGGCCGCAGCCGGAGTTGTAAGTGCTAGCAAATGCATGCTTTTTCATAGCGACGAACTAGAGCATTAACTGCAGAAATGCACTCGCAAAATGAGGACCCGTAATCACTATGGTTCTTAACTAATAAAAAACTTTCTATTATGCATTATGGCGAGTGCTGCAAGAAACACTCCGCAAATTGATAGTGGCAGAATACCGCAGGTTCTCATAAGTACATTTATTAACGGTCCCATTTATAAGTGTGGTATAGCAAATTATATTTACACAAGTTTCTGGCTGAGTTTTATGCCAAAAACGTCAAACATTAGCAAAATAGCATTTCAAAATTGAATTCACCCTCTTTTACCCGAAAACACTGTGATTTATCATATCTGCATTTATCTCATTGTCTTGAACATAAACCCGACTTTTCCGTTCCCAGAAGGAATACATTTAAAACTTTTCCTGCTTATATAGATCTCCGTTTGTAGCACAATGAGCACAAACAAAAAGGTTTTACCTGTAGCTTTCAGTAGCTGTTAAACAACGTCGGATTTCGCCCAATTCTGGTTTATTGTTTCTTCATCAAACGAATTTTGAAAAAAAACCCTTAGTATTAAACAGGCTCTCGTGTCTCGACTCAATTCAACGAAAAAAGAACGAAAAACGTCAGCTGTGCGCCATGCCATTCCCTCAAAGTGCGATCTTGACGTTTCACGAGGTACGTGTGACCTCACGAGGACCGTGAATCCGCTACGTATAACCAATGCACACAAACAAGGAGATATAGCTGTAGCTTTCAATAGTTTTTGCTCAATTCTGGCCTGTTCTTTTTTGTCTTCACTAAACAGATCCGGAATGAAGCCTTTGTTTAGCAAACAGGTGCTTGCACCTCAAATGAATTCACCGAAAAAACGCCGAGCAACCTCAGCCGTGTGCCATGCTATTCTCTCAACTTTCGATCTCAACGTTTCACGAGGCACGTGTGACGCCACGAGGACCGTGAATGCGCTACGTATAACCAAATGGTGCATCAGCGCGCTTGAGTATAAAACACACGCACTAGCATCAAAGGGCTTTCAGAAAAAAACAAAACGGATGGCGGACCAGCGTACCGTGGTGCTTCCAATTGATGCCAGTGTAAATGCCAAGTGGGCCTTCAAGTGGTACGTGCAGCATTCGTGGCGACTTAACGACTACTTAATTCTGTTGCACGTGATTGAACCCCCGGTTATCACCACTGTGGGGGGTTTCGCGCAGAACACAGCCTCCCTGTCGC